GATGCTTGGATGCAGGATGCGTGTGCGCGCGTGTAGTTGCGTGGATGCGGGATGCGTGTGCGCGCGTGTAGTTGCGTGGATGCGGGATGCGTGTACGCGCGTGTAGTTGCGTGCATGCAGGATGCGTGCGCGTGTAGATGCGTGGATGCGGGATGCGTGTGAGCGCGTGTAGTTTCGAGGATGCAGGATGCGTGTGTGCGCGCGTGTAGATGCGTGGATTCAGGATACGTGTGTGCGCGCGTGTAGATGCGTGGATGCATGATGCGTGTGTGCGCGCGTGTAGATGCGTGGATGCATGATGCGTGTGCGCGCGTGTGTAGATGCGTGGATGCAGGATGCGTGCGCGTATGTGGTGTGTATGTGTGTATGTGTCTTTGTATGTGCGTGCACGTATCTATGTGTGTGCGTGGGTGCGCGTGTATTTGTGTGCGTGAGCGCGTGTGTGGGTGCGCGTGTATTTGTGTGCGTGAGTGCGTGTGGGGCTGCGCGTGTATTTGTGTGCGTGAGCGCGTGTGTGGGTGCGCGTGTATTTGTGTGCGTGAGTGCGTGTGTGGGCCGGTGCGCGTGTATTTGTGTGCGTGAGTGCGTTTGTGGGTGCGCGTGTATTTGTGTGCGTGAGCGCGTGTGTGGGTGCGCGTGTATTTGTGTGCGTGAGTGCGTGTGTGGCTGCGCGTGTATTTGTGTACGTGAGTGCGTGTGTGGGCCGGTGCGCGTGTATTTGTGTGCGTGAGTGCGTGTGTGGGTGCGCGTGTATTTGTGTGCGTGAGTTCGTGTGTGGGTGGGCGTGGGAGGATGTTTAACTATAATTAGCATATACGAGTTGCTAAATCAATTGCTTGGCTTCCTATAGTAGATCATCCGAAAGTGCGAAACATTCACATATTATGGGTAACACGATACGCACCGGCCTTGCAACTGATGGCAATTAGCGACTCATGTTAGTAATATTAATGGTTCGCGGATTAATGGTTATCAAATTAGTGATGGGCCCAATCGTAAATTCTTCTATACATATATTCTGGCATTGTGTCGCCACGCTTTTTATATTAATTACATAATTTAGATGTGCTTTTTGTATAAATAAAAATATAACAGCATTCATGATCAATCGTGAACAATATTATCGGCTGTGAGTGTGTGCTCGGAGCTCGTGGTATTGTGGCTTCTGTGGTAACGCGACGCGTGGGGGTGATCTCGCTGCTGGAGGATACGGCAGGCTGATTGACAGTGAACAAGTACAACGACCAGGCGGCAAAATATATAGCGATGCCCGCTTGGCAGTGGCATGACCACCTGCTATCTGTTACACTAATTACCACATCAATTCTGAGAGTTTTTGTCTCCAATTTCACGTAGTTGCTACTCTAGGCATCTAACGGCGAGCCTTTGAGGCTATTAGTGCGTTAATTATACTAGCTGCTTTCCGTGAAAGCGGAGTCACGACGAAACCTTAATCATACAGAGCCCGTACGTGACATTTACTATAATAGATGCGTGACATCGCATAATAGATGTGTGTGAGGGATGTACACAATATGACGCGCGTTAGCGACGCGCCTTTCAGCTCTGCGTTTCACAAACGTTTCCTACACACTATAGCATTCCTTGTTTGCTAGCCAAGCCTATCTCTGCCTCGATCTCGATCTCGATATCGATCTCTATCTCTATCTTAATCTTTATCTCGATCTCGATCTCTATCTCTATCTCTATCTGTATCTCTATCTACATCACTATCTCTATCTCTATCTCTATCTCTATCTCTATCTACATCTCTATCTCTATTTACATCTCTATCTCTATCTCTATCTCTATCTCTATCTCTATCTCTATCTCTATCTTTATCTTTATCTACATCTCTATCTCTATCTCTATCTCTATCTCTATCTCTATCTCTATCTCTATCTCTATCTCTATCTCTATCTCTATCTCTCTCTCTATCTCTATCTCTATCTCTCTCTCTCTCTCTCTCTCTCTCTCTCTCTCTTATCTCTATCTATCGCTATCTCTGTCTATCGCAATCTCTAGTTCTGTCTCTATCTCTATCTCTATCATTATCCTTGTCTCTATCTCTATCTCTATCATTATCCTTGTCTCTATTTCAAATTTTATTTCTGTCTTCATCTCTTGTCATTCGAGCGCTCACGCTCTCTCGCCCCCCTATCTCTTTCTCTCTTCTTTCTCTCTCTTTCTCTCTCTTTCTCTCTCTCTCTCTCTCTCTCTTTCTCTCTCTCATCATAACCTTCGTCGATAGCTATCTATTGCACTTCATCATATTTGTCTATCGCTCTTCATATCTGGTTGTCTAGTGATCTTACGTATAAACGAAAGACGACATCCACATGCGCACAGGAACATACACGCGCGCGCACGCACACCCAAACAGAGAAATACAGAAACGTATACGGGCAGACACAAACACATACATGCACACGCGCGCACACATACGCGCGCATATTTAAATTAGTAAGATGACGTCTGAACGAAGAAATTTTATTTACTTTATTCGAGAATTGTAAGGGAAATTTTTAATGAATAGATTATGATTCTGCCTCAAAATGTAGCAAATAATCAGCAGATAATTTAGAGCGTGCAGGTTTATTATCTGTAATAAATGTGCTTGTGGTATTTCTATTATGAATAGAATCAGAAACTATATGAATTATTACAGTAATATTACGAGATTACATGTCAGTGACTATGGCATATGGTATCGAAACTATTTCCTTAAACATTATAGTAAATGGTTCGTAGTCATTACTGTTATATGCATAATAGGCCTACAGTTATGTTACATACAGTGGACTAATTCTCGTTTACTCGATTATTGCTGCTCGCGTTTATCAATAATCTTGCATTTTTGGCAACTTTTCAGAACATCAAAAATGCCTTATTTGCCAGAGTTGTGCGTCAGTCAGAGGACATAGCTGAAGAGTCCCCGGATGAGCCTTTACGGCACCGGTTAGGTGAGTTAATCATTGGTGCTTTCTTTTACAAGCATAACCGTTAAGGTTCACTCAATTTCTTAGCATAATACTTCGTAATTTACTCATATATCATAAACTAATCACCTATTCAGTATTACAATTCGTTGTGACTATAGTGTGCTTCTTGCGGATACAAACTTTTGCACGGGTATTGCTCTAATGAAGAGTAAACGTTTATTGACTAATGAATCGAATTAATTACACGTTTTATTTATAGATGAGATATATCCCTATGCTCAAGCCGAAAAATTTCATGAAATTTCCATCACCTAATTATGTGACACAAATTTTGCAATTTTATGTAAAAATTGTATTTTGGATATTTCCTAATCACCACATAGAGTGTGAAAGCAAATTTTTGCCTACAACAATCCCTATGCACAAAAATCGCGCGTCGCGAATTTTCTTTACTTTCATATTTACTGAAAAAATGAAAAAAAAATGCCTAAAATTTAAGTTGTATGTCCGAATTTAACATTTATGCAGATAAAAAACCATAACTCATAAAAGAAAGGACGGCACTTAATACCAAACCCTGACGCACTTTTTTACAACAATGAGTTATCATTAAAACGAGGGTAAAATTAAACTATTCCGAGTTGTAATTACGGAGAAATATCCATTTATATATCGGCTACTGTGGCAGAAATCGACACGGATAAATCAAAGTTCTTCTACTTTTAACAATGATCCACCGCTGTGTACGAAATGGGTGAACGTTGGTGAAACATCTACTGTTAGTATTTACTGCGACAGATCCATGACTAAAGATACTGAAGCCACTAAATCGGTAAAATGTTCTGTGCACCTTGATAAATTGTGAGAAATTACGAGATTAACACACGCAATTCGATGCGCAACGCGCGCACGCTTAATAAAGAGGATGACCCAGTGATATATAAATTAGGACTTTTGTTTAAAAGTAATTATGAATTTGAAATTGAAACCAGCAATATAATGACAGCCGTGGCGTTAGCTAATTAAAATATACGATAGATTCTTTTATATAGTCGCCCGCTATTAGATGTTGAACCGCTATATGTCTTTTGAGATGATTCTAACGGTGGTTTATCTATTACTATATTTATTACGAAGAACGGATATTATGGTCGAGCTCCAGTTATACTATTTGTTTTTACAGATTTACAGTTCAATAACTGCTTGAAATAACAGGCCTACTTTTAAACTCACTGTCTACAATTTTCTCGATTAATGTCTTACATGACACACGCTTTTGCTCTTGTTTGGGTCCATTCCTTGAAGAATAGTAGCTTCGCTGTATGTAATAAGCCCGTCTCGCTATACGCATTGGTTATTATATACTTTAGGCTATTCCACATGTAATATATGTACCGCCGTGTGTATCGTACCATAACTAAAGGTTCTAGCTATAATATTATTCGTTAAAACGACCTCCAGCTTATAACACGCAAAGTAGTTTTTGGAGACACTATCTGAGATGAAAATGTGCCCTATAATCCACGAAATGCGGTAATTACACATTTTAATTTCGTATTTCACATATGGCTGAATTTTATGCGTTTTTTTCAGAATGCGTGCAAATGATCAATCTAGGCGGGGAGTATTATTTCCAATCGACAGGAGATGATGCGATAGGAGACTGTGCTATGTACCTTCAGGGTCAGCCTGATCAACTCATCGAAATTGAATTTAAGAGTTTTGACGTGAAGTGTGAAGATGCAGGTCTTGTTAGTGTACGTATAGATCTAAAAGTTGTAACGGAGAAAAAAATGTACCAAACATTATAGTAATAAAAGAGTCCCTGTAGTAACAAATCAAGAGCTTTTCGAATAAAATCAGTTCACCACTTCTTTAATACGGCTCGACAGTTTTGTAATAGAATCAGTTTTATTGTAAACAAATTCTGGTGAATTTTATTATACATGTGGTGAGTCCTTACGAGTAATGTTGATCAAGTTGGACAGTTGGTGAGTTATTACAAAGGCTGCTTAATTTAAACGGCTGTTTAACGGATATTGCAGGTTATATACACCTGAAAATCTTATACATGCATGCTTGTGTTGACGTTTCGAATGTTCAGAATGTGTCCATATGGAACTCGTAACCAAGTCACAGTACATTTCGGTTTTCACCTTCCCCTCTCTTTCTCTCTCTCTCTCTCGCTCTCTCTCTCTCTCTCTCTCTCTCTCTCTGTCTGTCTGTCTGTCTGTCTGTCTCTTTGCATCGCTCCCTCTCTTTCTCTCTCTCTCTCTTTCTCTGTTGCTCCCCGGTCTCTCTTTCCCTCCCTCGCTTTCTCTCTCTCTCTCTCTTTTACTCATTCCCTCTCACCTTCTTTCTATTTTATTTCCTCGTTTCCCCTCTTCCTGCATTTCTCTTTCGCTCTCTCTCTCTCTCTTCTCCTTCTTTCCATCTCTTTCCCTTGCGTCGCCTCTTCTTCCCTCCCTCCTTCCCCCTTTCTTTCTCCGTTTCTCGCGCTCTCTGTCGTCGTTCTCTCTTATTTAAACTATGTGTGTACATACTATCAAGAGTACATAGAGGATCTTTACCTGCCATATGTTTTAGTTCATACGATACTGAGAAATATTAATTGTCAATCACATTAGGATAGATTTGGGCACACGTAGTCGCGCGTGATTAGCACACGCCGCCCAACTGAAGCGAAATTACAGATGGAAATCATGGGTATATTCACGTAGATAATATCAAATATAGATATCTAAGATAAATTGTCTTAGCTATTTTAGACCCTATATAATATATGAAATATAAATGCATATAATCATGTAATCGTAAGTGTAATCTGAAGAGCACGAATTAATGTAATAATTCGTCGTTACTTTGATATGATGAGTCATCGATTGCATATTAGACTGTACCATTAGGAAGGATTTATTGTTGGGGTGGGGTAGAAGGTAGAGAGCGATGGGAGCACCAGGCACCTTGGATAGGCGAGAACAACAGGTGAAATGGCAGATTACATTATCACGCAAATTATTACATTCGCTAATAACTGCAGATGTTTGCCTATTTATTGCAGGTCGTTGACGGATGGGAGTTGGATGGACAGTTTTTCCCAAGCGACGAAGACCGACTATCATTTGATGAGAGATATAGGCTATTCTGTGACAACGGACCATTAAAGTTCGTCGCGCACCAAAATGTAGCGATGATGCATTGGAGGATACCGGTAGCGACTCAGGGTTTTGTTGTAAACATCCGATTTTTCTACAACCCAAAACGTGAGTTTGAACAAAGATGCTCTAGTGAATTCGTTATTGTATTTTAACGTTGAGGATGTTTATGAAGATATGGAAGTTTATATGTACATATTACATGTCACCGCCGGAATTGTCGTCATTGCAATATATTCAGTGCTTAATTCGTCGGTAAAGCTTTTAGTAGTAGACTTGCACATTATAACAGTAGCGAGTCGACTTATAGTATGATACGTGTATATATATATATATAT